CTTGCTGTAATTGACCAGATTACGTAAAATTGAAAATTTTAAATCATACTAGACACAATAAAGATTAAAAACCCTAATTATTGAACTCATTATGTTCAAAATATGCCGTAAAATAAATCAAATGGCGGAAAAAAAAAAAAACCCAAAGTTCTTACCTGATTTTGTGAACCGAAGCCTTCCATCTCCAAAAAACTCTGTTTTTCTCAACGATTATCACAAATTAGTAACAAAAGGTTTTGATTCACAGATTTAAGATCACAATGCCTACAAATTTTGAAAGATTCATGCCCTATTTGGCATGAAACTTTCAGAAAAGGCGGAAACCCTAAACACCGAATTTTTCGTGATCCAAAAACAACAAATTTTTCCACCATTTAATCCTTGAAAAAGCTGAATAAAGCTGTTTACAGCCTGCAAATCAGATCACATGCCAAAAAAAACAAGAAAAATGATCAAAAAATGACAAATTTCAAAGAATCCCGTGAAGAACACTGTGCAACCCGTGTTCTTCACGGACTCGCCGATTCCGCAAAGTGAATCGGCGAGTCACTGTGCGGAATCGTCCGGTTCTCTCTAGAACCGGACGATTTTCGATTTTTTAACCGATCCGGTCCCTTTTCGCGATTTCCGAGTCGAACCGGGCGAGTCCGGTTCGACTCGACGTTTTTTAAAACGCTGGTACCATCTATATGTGACTCGATATATATTATTGCGACTCGATATATATTGTTGCGACTCGATATATATTGTTGCGATGGGTTCATTTAGAGTTAAGGAAAAAACACATATCTCTTTGTAATCAAAGAGAACATATAGGGGTGAGAGAAAAAAAGTTATTGTAACCTTATTCTTCAAAGAAGCTCTCGTCTATTGTGGATGTAAGCACGTTGCCGCACATGTATATCTTTACGTTGTGGTTGATTGTCTTTTTCTTTCTGTTATGTTGTTTCTTCTTTTTTGTTTTCATTAATTGTTTTTCGTTTGTACACCCTTACCATAATTGCATCTTCAAGTAGAGTTTAGGTGCATGTTTACTTCAAAGTTTATGCCTTGTATAAACTACACTCATTTGATAATGGTGATTTCTTTCATGAAAACGTATATAACCATCATGTTTATGGTCATTTCTTAATTGGTCACTCTCTCACTCCAATTGCATAGCAAGCCACCAACTAATGGCACTATGAAAGTCGATTTATCTTATTCTTTTATGTCTTAATTGTGAATTTTTTCATTTCATATTTCGCTTGGGATTTCATGATGAAGTAATTTGACTTTTATTATTTTAAAAAATAATTACTCTTGAGGAGGCACAGTAAATTGCATACATATTCTATCGAAGTTGAAGGAGACTAACTAGAGCTACGAAAGAAGTAAGAAATATTTATTGTGAAGATATTTAAAAAAAAAATTGATAAAATTCAAAATGAGTGGATTAAAATAAATTTAAGGGTGGCATCGGTAGGTGATAAAATGAGAGAGAATAGACTTAAGTGGGTTGGCTATGAGTAACGCAGATCCAGTACAACACCTATTAGGATGAGAGAGTTAGTTCAAGTATAAAGCTAAAAAAGACACAGAATAAACCCGAAAGAACATCGTTAAAAGCAGTGATAAAATATATGATGACTTACAACCTCACTGAGGGTATGACCTTTAATAGAGCATAATAGCTTACCAGGATTCATGTAGGTGACCCCAATTAGTTAAAAAAAAGTTTTGACGATGATGATATTTCTTTAAAGAAAATTATACAATGTTGCAACCTTATAAGTTAAAAGTAATGTGCACTTTCAAAATCTAGTAGAAACTAGTGGTTCAAAGTTAAAAATATTCCAATTTATCATCTCAACATCGAGATTTATGAATATAAAGGCAAAAAAGAATTTTAATGCCTACAAATAATCCATCTTGTTATAAGTTACCTTTACCGTCCATTTTTTAGTTTTTCAAGTGTTTATATATTTGCTCGATCTGCATTATCTTTTGAAATTCTGAATTTCATAACTAGGGTTGAACATTGTTTTTCAAATGGTCACAAGGCTTTCGAAACTAAAACTACATTTGGGGGCAAAATTTAGAGGTGTGTCTTACTTGTAAAGTATAACGTGGGTACCTTATATAAATCTCGCCCTTCTTTTAAATTAATCTAAGCAACTACCTTTCTTTTCCTTAACCTTTTAAGTATATTATGAGCAAAGAACATTCCCAACTTACGTTACTATAAATTCTCACAGTCAGTTGGATCTAGGTAAGCTTTTATTTCTTATAAGTTATTTGTCATTCTTTTGATGCCATGTGCGGCTTTTCTTATGAGTTCTTTCTCACATTTAGCAAAGTGGCAGAAACTACATGACACTAGGGCTCCCCACCTTGAACAATGTTCAACCGACTTGTTTAGATCAGTGTGTGTGTTTGTGTGTGCGTGTCTATATCTAAAGTTGGAGAAGATTCTATGGATGCACACCCCAATGCGGAAAAAGTTAGCCAATCCTAGGCTTCATATGTTTTTTTGGGTAATTCTACTAGGCTTCAAAAGTTGCTTTGCATCGAATATAGTCAGAAACATCCAAAAGCCAGTTGAAGAGGAAGTCTGCAAACTATGACTCAATCAACTTGGAACTGGCTTGAGCATCAATGGAAGTTGAGGAGCCACTTCTTAATAGCATCGCATTGGAAGAAAGAGAGGCTCAACAAGCGACCAGGAAGAAAAAGAAAGTGGGTATTGGGGAATTTTTGAACCATTTTTAAATGGGATTGTCTATAAAGAGATTTTTTGTATAAGGAGGTCACAATCATTATTGTCCCTTAAATTTTAAAATCATTATTGTCTTTTAAATTTTAAAATGGTTAGTTGTAAGAGTATCACTAAATAGATATAAAGAATCTAGATTTTGTGACTCACCCTAAGCCATTCAATTTGACATTTAATGAGTGAGAATGATTATGACCTCCATGTAGAAAAATTAAATGGTCTCTTTACATACAACCTTTTTTAAATATATTTTTTTTTAAAGTAGATCCATATGTTAATTTCCCTAAAAATTAAATGGTTATTCCTTTAACTTCTCTCTTCCTTGCTGATTACCCCTACATATGGGTCTGCCCCCTGTCATATTTTGCCATTTTAAGGGGTTTTACAAGAAGGTCCTATTTTTGGAAAAACAGGTGCAACTAGGGCACTATCATAAGTGGTTTGTGTTTTTATTGAAAAGAGGGGCCACTCGGTTATGCTTTTCTAAAAAGGGTAGAAGAGAAAGAAAGGCTAAAAGCAATTGATTAAAAAGTTCAGGAAACCGAGTCAGTGAGTAAGAGAGTATAAGACTTGGGGAGTTTGTTCAAATGTATTTACGATATTAATTATTCAACTGTTATCTATATGTTTTGATTTTATTTAAAAAACTCATTAAAGTATGTATGATTTTGAGTTTGAATTCTAGAAAAACGTATAATTTTTAATAGTTGAGAGCTATGGTGTATTTTGATAGATTTCTTTATTACAAAAAGGTAACGTTTGTATCAGGTGCCCAACTTATTATAGTATTCAAGTAAGGCGTACCTCAAAAATTAAGAAAACTAAACTTAAATCTTGAAGATCCATAAATACTTGAACATCTTGAAAGTCCAAATACTTGTTACAAGATGCATTTTTTTAGGACTTTAATTATTTATTTTCTTTATATACATAAATCTCGAGGTTGAGATGATCAGTTGCGAGGTTTTTCAATTTTGTATCACTCTTTTTTACTGAATTTTTTTGGTGCACCATACTTCGAATATATAAGGTTGCAACCTTACATAAACCTTTTAGTTGTAACAGGAGAGAGAAATCATATCAATGGTATTGCAACTTGGGGAGTGATACATTTGGTAGAGAGAGTGGAGAGTAGCAAAATTCCACTATTGCTAGAGATTCATGAAATAGTCCAGGGAGAGATTAACTTATTATTTTTTGTTTGAAAATGTTGTTTTGGTGTTGAAAAATCGTATAGCTGATGGTTCCAACCGTAATTATGGAATGAAATCCAAGTTAAAAAAAAATCATATTATGTAACATAAAAAAATCTGCGGGACTTTCACCATCTCTGGAGTTTCAATTTTCACGATCGCGAGCCAAAATAAATTTTCAAGTCATCACAAGAATCTCAAACGTCAGAACTACAAGCTATATTTTTTGGTCAAATCTTGGTGTGTGCCTTGTACCATTTTTCTTTTCTATGGCCTTGGGTTTTGTCTCACCCAAAAGTTAAATAGTCACTTTGGAAGGAAAGGTGGGGAGGTGCTATGGCATTGGTTAAAGAGCGACGACAATAAGAGATATTACAAGAGGAAAATAATCATGTAGGTTTGTTGAACAATAGAATAGTATAAGTCTAATAGCTCAGATTGAATGATATAGAAATAAAAGGTAGTATTGTACATTGATTTTTTATTATATTTAAAAATATAAGAGTTTGACATATCCTAAATTTTACAGATTCACGTGCCTCCTCCAAGTGCTCAAAATAAAATTGAAGAAATAAACGCACTCGAAAAATATCGAGCAAATGTGTCCACCATTCTCATATAGTCCCCTCTCTTTAGTCTGGGGTGTTTGGTTTATGCTACAATATAAACTGGCACTTGTAAAATCTTACTCTTATTTATTTATTTTTTGAAGGTAAATAAGAAGTTGGCCAGAGAGTTAAATAAAAATAAAAAACACAACTATTTTAAACGTAATATGAAATATCTTTTTAATTTTAAAACTTATCACCAGGTCACTTAAATTTTCCATATTTTATAGGGAGGGAGGGACAGAAATGGTGAATGCCTTATTGCACATTGACAATATAGTTAGGAGATATAATTTTAGTGTGAAAATATGATTAGAAATAGAAGAAAAGAATATTTTGAAAGCAGTATTGCATTGGTTAGAGAGCGACGATTAGAGAGAGAAAGAGAGAGGCAAAAGGTGAGGAGGCACTATTGCGTTGGTTGGGTCCAGACGGGATTGTTAAAGAAAAACACCAGAGAGAGAGAGAGGGAAAATGCTAATATTCGATGGATGTGGCAATCGGACCCGACCCGGACCTGACAGAAAGACCCGATCTAAGTCCGGGTATGGGGTTCAAAATTTTGATCCAGCAGGTTAAGCCGGGGTTCATATTTTACACCTGAATATTAGTCAGGGTTAAGTCCGACTCTGGGTCTCACATTACATTTTTAGGTCTTAATTCATAAAATATATTTAAATACACGGATTTTTAAATTTTTGGGTCAGGTTTTTAATTTTTGGGTCAGGTTCGGTCGGGTCAGGGTCTGAGTCCCACTTTATTTTTTTGGGTTTAAGTCCGAGTCTAGTGACTTTGGGTCGGGTCAACACCGGATCCCATAATATTTTTTCGGTTCTGGATCTGGGACTTGACCCGATCCATCGTAACCCCTAAAATTGACCCGACCCGAGAGTTGCCACATCTAATATTAGAGAGTAAAAAAGGCAATTTATTTTTATGAATTGAGGGAGAGAGAGAGGGAGAGCTTTTAGAAGACGCAAAAGTGAAACCACTCCATTGCGTTGGTTGGGACTTGAGAGAGGAAGTTAGAGAGAGAGAGAGAGTGAGCGACGTTGCGTGGGCACGACGAACCTGGACGTACGGATAGAGAGAGAAAGTGTAATAAAGTCTATGTTTGTACGTAGGGATAGAGAGAGAAAAGTATAAACCCGTGGGTTTTACGTAGAGAGAGAAAGTGGAAAACCCGTGGGTTTTCGAACACGGTGCTCCGATACGTGTACTACGTAAGCAGTAGAGTTGCAGTAAATAGTAGAGAGAGAGAGAGAGAGAGAGCAGCAGGTCTATTCCTCTTTCTTTAACTTACCGGCATCACATGCTAGAGAGAGAGAGAGAGAGAGAGAGTTGTTTATTACAC